AGACAGGGTGTGTGAGGCCGTGGGACATCACTCAGTGCTGACACCAGTACATTCAGGTTGCCTCCCCAGCATCAGCCTGTCCTGCATCGAGGGAGAGGCTGCAGATCCAGCTGGCTGTCTTAAAGCCTGGCAACAGCAGCTTTGCGGCACTTCTGGCGACCAGCAGCCCTGAAAGGGTGTTACAGCGTGCCTTGCATAACAGGGACATATTGGAAGGTTATGAGTGTTTATTTATGAAGAGGTTGGCGTTGCATTTGTTTTTCTAGGGTTCAGTTTCCTGCTCATGTGAGGGCAGTTTCAGGGGACAGCTGTCCTGACTGGCGGGATGTACATCCTGGTATCCTTGGCAGGTGAGGTCTTCAGACTTGACCTTCCCTCCTTGGTGAGTGTGGGGATGAGGACAAAAGTTAAAAAGAAACATTAAAGCAAGAGAGAGCAAAAGTGTGCACTGTGGTTTGAAAAGGGCACAGTGAAATCCTGCAAAGACACTGTAGTAGATTTTTTAATGCATGCTCTCCACTGTTGATTTTCTCCCCTTGCTAGTAAGGACTGGTTTCTTATCTAATCCCTTTCTCCTTTCTCCCCTTCCCTACTACCAGGGGGCTACATGCTCCTCCCCAGGTTAAAGCGTAAGGGATATTTTTGTGGGTGACTTCAGCTGTGTAAGAGGAAAACTTGTTTCTCCAGGATGCACAAGGCTGGAGATGAGCAAACACCACATGGCCTTCCCAACTCTGATTTCACTCAAGGTGCTACAGTAGCCCCAAAGTATTGTTATTATATTTTGTATAGAGTTTTCTTTTGATTGCTCTAGGTGATATACTCTTTAAACATCCTAATGTGTTTATAACAAAGAAGCTAAATGGGCTTCTCCAAGTACACCTGTGCCATTATAGTGCCCTAATTCTCTTTATAGATTAATATAGATTAAACCCATTAATCTCAATAGATTAACAAACCACTGTTACCTTACTGAAAACATAACTAAACACACTGAAGTAATATGTAATATGATAATCCCAGTCCAGTGGTGGTTTTGGATTGAAAAATGTTACCAACAGTTTGTTGGAAAACTGCGTCAGATGTTTTTCTTGGTGCATTCCTGAAGGTTACCTTTGATCAGGCACAGCAGAGAAGAGGGTTTCCTGCTGAGTGCCAAGTTACCTGGGCATTATTTACCTTCAGATGAGTCAGTGGAATGAGGGATTGTCACAGGGCAGGAAAGAACAGATGAAACCGAGTATCGTGGGGCCTCTGACTAAAAAGAAACTGGCAGGTGTTGGGTGCCCGACCGGTATTTTTAGGGCTCCCATGCAGGAAGCTGGAATTGCCAGCAGTGCTGGTGTGAGCTTATGGTGTCAGGCTGCACTGAGGCTTCTCCTGAGGTGATGGCCCAAGGAAGGTGATCCTGAAATGATGTTGAGACCTCACACATCAGGCGACACAGCCCAGAGGCTTACCACAGGACCTTGTACCTTTTTTTACAAAACAAAAGGCATGAAAAGAAGCCCAAATGCCACCCAGCCACTGCCCTCCCGAAAAAGAAGGAAGACTGGCTTGGACATTAGTCAGCCCTGCCACAAGACTCAGTGGGATGTGAGCTCTCCTCCCCTGCCAGAAAACCCTGTAACACTTCTGGGGAGGCAGCTGGCAGGGATCAGCTGGTGCTGGGGCACTCTGGGGCTGCTGGTCCTTGCTGTGGGGACCAGGTCCTCACCCTGCTGGCACACACTGGGGACTTGCTGTGGCTGCTGGGTGAAGCGTGTCTTTCTTGGCTGGGCAAAGGACACAAAACATGGCTCTTGGCTGCAAGGGGCAGCAATTCCTAAAACAGAGAGGGTATAGTACACACTTCTTATTGGTGATTATAATAGTCTCTTATTTAATTCTCTAAATAAACAGTTGTGTGTCTCAAGAATAAAGTACTTAGGACAAATTACTTTATACATAAATTCAGTGTTTAATATCTTCAACACACTTTTGTAGACTTCCTTGTTATATAGAGTAGAACAGAATAGAACTATCTGAGTTGGGAAGGATCTACAAGGAAGATCTAGTTCAGTGGCTTGACCACTTCAGGGGGACCAAAAGTCAAAGCACATTGTTAAGGGCATTGTCCAAATGCCTCTTAAATGCTCACAGTGCTGGGACATCAGCCACTTCTCCAGGAAGCCTGTTCCAGGGTTTGACCACCCTCTTGGTAAAAAAATATGTGATGGTTCAGACTTGGCTCCCTGCCAAATGCCCAACCCCCCAGTAGCAGCCCCTCTCTTCCCCTCTTCCTAATGTCCCATCTAGGCTTCCCCTGATGATGCAGCTTTGAACCATTCCCACATGTCCCATCACTGGATCCCAGGGAGAAGAGATCAGCACCTCCCTCTCCACTTCCCCTCCTCAGGAAGCTGTAGAGAGCAACAAGGCCCCTCAGCTTCCTTTTCTCCAAACTAGATAGCCCCAACAGTTCTGTCCATTGAACGGGACTGGCCCTAGAATTGAGCTCTGAGGAGCACCACTGATGATCAGCCACCAGACAGATGTAGCCCCATTCACTACAACCCTTTGAGCCCTGCCCTTCAGCCTCATCCCACAGTTCGATATGGGCATTAGCAGTTCCCTGTCACTCCTTTAATGGAGACTACACAAAAAAGTGTATCATAATCAGGTGCAACTTATGTACTATTTATGCACATTATCACTCAGGTACCGAGTGCATTTGCTGTGAATGAAGTAAAATTTACCATATCTCTGTGGGAAAAGTCTTTTAGCTGTAGCTTTAATGGGGCCAGCGAAGAGGCACTCACATATTTGTGCTCACTCACACATGATGCGAGTCACACATGAGACCAGAGGATTAAATAAACTGCACTGAAGAAAAGGGGATTCAGTTAATGGTGGCAGCTCTGTTGGATGTCCACGGAGGTTGTTCCCAGGTTGAGGGCTGATTTGAGGTCAGGCCTGAGCATCATCCTGGCTGTACTTGCCTGGCCTGGGGTGGTGGCTGAGTTTACAAGGTTTTGGTAAAAGAGAGTCTCTGGAAAAAATATTGGTGTTTTGTGCCAGCTGTGTTGCAGAAAGCTGTTTTTGGGAACACTTGTTTCACTGCAGGGAACTGTATTTCTTTACTTATAAAACTCAGTCTATGTTTCACCCAGTGTGCCGGGAAGCAGCCTGTGAGACGGGCAGCCAAGTGTGCACCCACAGAGCCATAACACGCCCTTTGCCTGTCACGTTCAAGTCTGAGAGCCTCTTCAGACAAGACATTTCCCTATCTGAAGGAGAAGTGTGAGCTTCCTCTCCCTGTGATACAAAATAGCTGCTGAGGGGCCTGGCGGCAGAGCAAACCCACTGTCAGCCCTCCCTCTCAACCTGCCACAGCTCACCCACTGCAGAGAAGTTGTCTCAGACAAATGAAGGCTCTTCTCAAATACTGTTTTCCCTGTCATGAGACTGCTGGGGCTCAGCCTTGCTGGAAAAGGATACTGTTTCAGCTCCAACTGGCATGGTGTGCATCCGTGTGGTGTGCTGGCAGATGCTGATCCTGCAGATGTTCCCTGTGCTGCAGCCAGGCAGGTTTTGCTGGGTGCAGTGTCACTAGAGGTGACACCACGAGAATCTGACACTTGGAGTTGTCTGTGGGGAACATCTTCTGCAGGCCAGCTGAGGGACTGGGGCTGCACCCCGGCAAGCAGTGAGGGCTGGCCCAGCACAGCCCACAGCACACTTGTGCTTCTAACCTTTTATTGCAAGCTGCATGTGCTTTAGGTGGATTTACATCTGGTTTACATCCGGTTTACATCCTTTACTTCTGAAAACAAGAGCACCTGATGCTTTATATCTTAAACCAAAGGACCATCAATTCTTGGATCCAAAGGCTTAAAGCTTCTCTAAGAATAAACAGGAAATAATGTCACATCCTCCTCTACACCTTTTCTTGATTTTAGACCTGTGTTAAAAGGACTTTTCACTTTTGCAGTCCTGTGCTTATTCCAGAAGACATCCTGGCTGAGAAACCAGATGTAAGTGTATGCAAGCAAATCCCCAGCTGCCCAAACTGTGCTGGAGAGGCACATGGCTATGGGGACCTCGAGGCAAACCTGGTCCTGCCTGGGAGTGAAGCAGGGATGTCTGATTATGCTGAACTGCGGGAATGAAAAGTGCTTTGGCTTTTAACAGCAGAAAATAATAGCTTGCTGACACCAAGCCCAAATGGCAAGAAAAGGAACTCTGGTGTTCTGGGTCCCTGCAGGACTTCCATAATCAAATTTCAGTCAAATCATGGTTATGGCAAACCCAGCATGGAAATACAAAATAATTTTATTACTTTTCTGTGCTGAGAAGGTAGTCAACTCATGCCTATAAATCCCAAGTATTTGCTTACGTAAATTATTTTTGTTTTCCTTTGGGATTCTTTAACCTTGTCCTGACTTCACCGTCATTTGTACCAGCTGTACTTTGTAATGCGGTGGACTTTGGTTTATCACCCTTTTTTACAGTCTGACAGCTTTACAGCTTTCAGAGATATGTAGTTACATAAAATGGGCGTGCTTCCTTGCCTGGCTAAGGAACAGCGTGCACTGATGGCCACTATCCTTTGAATTTTCAGCCAGCTTTGTTTTTGTTTAAAACTGGATTAATAAGGCGTTATTTCTTCGATGCTAGCACTTCCTGCTGCCTCTCTCTGCCCATTCTGCCTGTTGCTCTTCAACAATAATTCCTGCTCCTACACCACCAAATCCAGTGCTTGCTAATCCATTGAGTTACGGATAATGAGATCAATGGACGGTAAAAGTGATCCAGAAATTATTAATGTATCCCAGGAATTTACCTCTGAGACTTCTGATTTTGTGAAATAAGAGTCTTCTAGTTTCTTTTGATTACATTATCTGGAAAGAATAAAGCCTACACTGTTTCCCTTGATGCCGCCTCCTCCATCGGGTGCGTGGCTTCCTGTGGCAGGCTGTGGTCAGCCCCTGCACCTGGCCTCCTTCAGCACTGCAGACCTCTCCTCCCTCCTCCTTTTAGTTTACATTTTCTGCTCCAATGGCAAAGCTACAGCTCTAAACAGGGGTTATTACCTCTAGGAGTGGTGAATGCAGGTTTTGATCCCTCCCTCTATGTTAACTCCGAAAAAAAAAAAACAAACAACCATATGCCTGCAACTGCTAAAACACATTCAGGCTGTGGTGGGAAATGCTCTTGTACATTTTTGCTACCCCATGGTAGGAAGTTGGCTGGGGAAGAAACCCAAATTCTGTCATGTGAACTGGTTGCAAAAGGCACGAGACTGTAGAGCAAAACTATGAGTCTTTTGTTTTCTCCTGTGCAAGCTGTGGGGTGGTGTTTGTATGTCAGTGCTCCAAGTGGGTCAAATCAGAAAGTTCAGGAAGATCCTGGAGAGCCCAGGCTGGAGTTTGCTCCTCATGAGAGCAATAAAGACAGACTTTTCAACGGTACCTTCGCTGTGGTATCTGGGTGCCTAATTATAGTAACCAGCTTTGAAAAATCTCACCCTGCACTTTTATCAGCGCATTTTGAAAACAACACTGTGATATTCAGTTACTTGGAAACACTGATGGGCTTTCATGTGGAAAACTACTGTCTCTCTCATGTTTTTTTTTTCTCGTATGGAGGAAGGTTTCTAGCAGGAATTTCAGGGGTTCATGTTCCATCCCTGCTCAGTGGGTTCCTGGGAGGTGAAGATGTGAAGCTGTACATCATGCCGTACTGCAAATTTTCAGGAGAGGAGGGGCACCTGGTTTCATCTTACCAAAGCACATTCTTTTTAATCTGTTTTGATGGAGAAGGAAAACAGAGTTCAAGAAAATGGAGGTTCCTTTTCCCTTTGAGTGGATGTGACCAGCTGATACCTGCTACATGAACACTCAAAATATGCAAAGTTCAAAACACAAATAAACAAAACTATTTACCTGACAGCAGTTTCTGAACAGGGTGTTTGTTTTCCACCCTCATGAGCTAATTATCTCCTGGGGCTTTTTATCTCCTGCTTTGGCCTGGAGTAAATCTGTGAAATAAAACCAAAACAGGTTTGAAAATGGAATTGCTCCCCCTCCCTCCCTATTTTTCCATTGAGGTGTGTACCTGTGCTTTATTCTGTTATCAGCCACGGGGAGTGTTTCTGATTGCTGAAAAAGACAGAGCGCGGTAGGGCAAGGCCTGAGGGTCGGGAGCTGAACGTCCCGCGGGGCTGCAGTGGTGGTGGGCTGTGCTCCTACCCCAGAGCCCACATCACCGTCTTCAGCCTTACACCCTCTCCTCCACGAGCTCCCAGCTGGGACTACTCTGAGCTCCTGATGGGTTCTGAAGTCCTCCATCAAGACTGTATTTACCAAAAACATTCTGGACAGCAAAAACAGTAAGGTTGGGATGGGGTTGGGGAAGGGGGGGGCGAAAGGAAGAGCCCTGGAAGGGAGTCGAGCCTGGATGGTGAAGTTAGAGTCTGCTTTGAGTTTGCAGCGAGATTAAACATTAGCAGCAGGTACGCTGCTGCTGCGCTGCTTTGTTTCAGACAGCAGCTGACGCCTTTATTTAAATAGCGGCCACTTCTCTGAAACCTGAGTTCCTAAAAAAAAAAAAAAAAAAAAAAAAAAAAAAAAAAAAAAAAAAAAAGGTGTTTAAGCAATCCTGCCCAAGCAAGGAAAACAACTGGACAAAGCCGAGTCTGCTACGTGAGGTGAATTATTTAAAGCCAGGCAGGTTTCCCCGGCGCTGCCATCAGTCAGCCTGTTCCCAGTGCCCCTGTGTGTGCATTCCAGCTGCTCAGCTTTTGCTCCCCCGAGGGATGTGTAAGGGGGGAGCCCAAGGGAACGAGCGCTGTGAGGAGGAAACTTGTGCAAACTGAAGTAAATAAACCTTCTGGTCAACTCAAAGGAAGGGAGGCATGACGCACACCTCTGGGCTGTCCTCCAGCCCGAGGTAACGCCGTGTGGCGGGGAATTATGCAGAGCTTTCCTGAATCTCCTTCCACACGTAGCTGGTGTTTTCCCTGCAGCTGAGAGCTTCGCATTCAGCGGGCCAGGCTCCAGGATGGCGAGTCTCTCAAGACCAAACACCACGTGCAGGAATGCATTAAAGCCCCCACATGCTCTTTGGAGGAGAAGTTTGCATTGGCTGTTTGAATTACGTTGACAGCAAAGGCTCTTCACAAGAAGAGGGGAGGGGGAAGGGTTGTTTTTCTCGCATATATTCTCTTTTAACTTAAATGATGTAGACAAAAAAGCCTCCTTCCATGCCGTCGCTATGGCTACGGCTCAGATCATTATGCAGAAGCCTGTGAACAGGAAAAGGCCAAGTGGAGAGGGGGCAGTGAGCTCGGCGCTCCTTCAGCCTGCAGTGGGGTATGGTCCTCTGACGCATCCGCCGGCCGCAAGTTTGTCCAAGGCCACTTTTCTGTCCCCACCCGACGGAAACGTGGAAACACCACAATTGCGAAATCTTCTGCTGGCTTGCTCAGCGTTAGGAGAATTTACCGGGTCATGAGTTTGAGAGCGAGAGCGAGGAGGAGCTTCGCACCTCCCCACCCTGGAGATGTTATCAGCTCTGTCATTAACACCTCCTCTCTAACTCTTCCCCTGAGGCTGGCAGGGGAACAGGGTGACGCTGACGCACCTGCAGGCCACTCGCAAGCCCTGTGCTCCTGCTGTGATGGCAGTCCACTGGTACGATACCAGTGAATAGCTCCAAGCCATCGCTTAGCCCCAATCATGTCCTCGCACTGCAGCTCAGTGGTGTGATCGTGGTCCTGGAGTCTAAAAAAGTCACACCAGGTGAGGTTTCTCCAACGCCTAAAGCCACAGAAAATACTCTGCTGCATGTCTCAGTTGTAGTACCAGAGTCACTTTGACCCCCCGGTAGCCAAAAGTTATTGAGGGAATTTAAAATTGGTCTTAACCCATGGCATTACCACATCACTGTTGGAGACTCTGTAACCATAACTGTGAGAATATTTCTGCTGGTTTTAAAAACCCTACCACTTAATAGGATCTCAACAAAAGTCACATCTGAAAGGTTAGCCCCAGTCTTTCCTTTCATGTATGAATGTTTAAAATTATCACCAGTGGCTAGAAAAGGTCTTCTCATTTAGAACCGCCTCGCTTGTTTTCTGTGACTCCCAGAGAATCCAGTTCATCAAAATCTGTTTAGAAAATGCAGTAGTTGAAGATGAACAAAATACGATAAACAATTCTAAATTGATTGAAAATTTGACTAAGCTGCTTACTTTCCTAATTGTAATGCCTAATTAGTTGGCTTGTTCCGTTCAGTCATGCAGCTTTGATAGCTTTATTGTGCTCCAGAAGTCTGGGGCCTGAGATTGAAGCATGTCTGGCCTAGATATCTAATGAACTGTTAATTTCAAAATAAAAACATTCTTAAACTGCTCTACGAGCAATCACCTTCTGGTCTGATACACGGAGCCAGAAGCACAGCTTAAAATAACCAAAACAGGTTGCACTAGGGCTGAGACGCATAAGTAGGTTAATGTAGCTGACAGAGTAACCAGTGAAGTTACTGCAGCCTCACGAAGGAGAAGAGACAACACCCTGGTGCTCAGCAAGAGGTACTGGAGACCATCTCATCCTTCCCATTCCACCTCCATCACCAGCTACTGGGCAGGTTCATTGGGTGAGCTTACTCTCATCTCCTGTGGCTTGCTGAGTTGCAGAAGAATACAGGTTCAGAAAGAGCTTAGGGAGGTTTGTAGCCTGACATTTAATCTTGGGACAAGTGACAAACAGATTTCTGTTCCCCTTGGGTAGGAGAGGGATTTGAACCTCGGGCTCCTGTGCATGGTATCAGTACTCTCACAGCAGCTGAGGTGCTGCACAGACATTTGGGCAGTGTCTGAAAATGACTGTTTCTTATGCAGAAACTGTTCAATCAGGGAAATTTTGTGACAGATTCTGTGCTGACAAACGGAGTTTGTTGTCCAGACAACCATTTGGATACATCACAGAATCATAGAAGGGTTTGGATTGGAAGGGACCTTACAGACCATCTAGTTCCAACTCCCTGCCCTGGTCAGGGATGCCACCCACTAGACCAGGTTGCTCAGCCCCCCATCCAGCCTGGCTTTGAACAGTTACAGGGACGAGACATCCACAGCTTCTCTGGGCAACCTGTTGCAGTGCCCCACCACTCTCACAATGAAGTATTTCTTAACAGCCAATCTAAAAGTGCCCTCCTACAGCTTAAAGCCATTTCTCCTTGTCCTGTCAGCACATGCTCTTGTGAAAAGTCCCGCTTCAGTTTTCCTGTAGCCCCTTTAGGCACTGGAAAGCTGCTAGAAGGTCTCCCAGAACCTTCTTCAGGCTGAACAGCTTGACTTCATAGGTAAAGTGTTACAGCCCTCTGATCATCTTTGTGGCCTCCACTAGACTCACTCCAGCAGGTCTGTGCCCTTCTTATGGTGGGTACCCCAGATCTGGACATAGTACTGCAGGTGGGGTCTCTCTCAAGAGCAGGGTAGAAGGGCAGAATCCCCTCCCTCGACCTGCCAGCCACACTGCTTTGGATGCAGCCCAGGACGTGGTTGGTTTTCTGGGGCAAGCACATATTGCAAAACAATGTCGAGCTGACACCCCCAAGGAAGAGCTGCCTTCTGCTCTCCTCCAAGAGCTCCTGTATTTTTTACTAGTCTTCTTATTCTTGAGGCAACAATTGACAGCCACACCTCACACCTGGGCAGAGCTGGCACACTGCTGATTACATCTCGGCTAAAACCAGAAACAAAACAGAAAATAAGGAGAGTTTCATGCTAAATGCTCTGCACAGATTGCTGTTGGCCCTAGGCAGTGATACCTTATTCTCAGAATTAGTTCAGCGTTACCCATAGCTGAAGCAATCACTGCCCTCTACTCTCTAGGATGAGGAAACATCTTCCAAGTGATACATGATTTATGCAGTGACCAAAAGGTTTAAAACTTTGTTTTATTTAAACCACTTAATAGTGTTATAAGGCAGGTAAGTCTCTTCCCTTCCTTTGAGGCAAAAGCAGTGCTGGGCAAAAGAAACCTTTGATTGCAGGGTCACCACAGAGCAAGAAGGGAGCAGTGTAAATCTCACCTGCTTCCACTTTCACCATCAATTTAAAAGAAGGGCCAACACAGTACTGCAAAGTTAACTTCTTTCAAAGGCAACTAAAAAATTGCTGAGCAGAATTGTTTTCACCTACTGCCCTGCAAAGGCTTAAACACACAGTATCTGTTTTCTCTTGCTTAACACAGCACTTAATTCAGGCAGCTCAGCACCACACAGCACTGAGGCAAAGGCAGACAGGCTGAACCTTATCTGAAATCACATACAGAAACTGAGGTCACCAGAAACATCCAAGTTCGGTGTTTTGAAGTCACATAATGGAGCTTTTTTTGTGATTTGTAAAAATACTTTTTCCTACAGGTGACCCATCAAAACCAATTTTTTTTGTTCCTTAGGCTTTGAAACCATACCATGATGCATCTTCCCCTTAAAAGGTTATGCCCTTCCAACTGAGGTGGTCTACAGGTAACTGGAAATCTCAAACTCCAGATTTTATGGAGCTGCTTTCCAGAGAGAAGCAGCCTGATTTAGGGACCCCAGCTGTACCTGAAAATGTAATTCACAAGACAGGATGCTCTGCACCATACAGGAAGTAAAGGTTGATCTCAAACCCCACCCAACACTCAGGTGCTCAAAACTGACCCCTGGGTCCCACAGGCACACAAGTACACTTTACACTTTACCCACTGGGACCACGGTAAATTGCTTCACTCATTGTGAAAATATTTGGGTGAATCAGCAAGTCTTTTATTAATTTGCATGTTATTTAACTGAAAACTGTTGGTGAGAATTAAAAGTCAAAACTGCCATGAAGTGAAAACACTATTTATTTTTATAAAAGGCAATAATTAAAACAAACCCTACCAGTGTGTACATTGTACACATTTGAATGACACTTACAAGAATGAAGTTTCCATATACAAGGATTACAAGCCCACACTGGTAAAGGATGCACACAAGCACATACTGAACTTCACAGATGCCAACTCCAGATCACAGTACCAATTACTCTATGACCACACCTGCATAGCATTGTCATTATTAGGATCCACACTACTTTATTCCACTATAACATGTACATACACAGAAAGCAAGAAGGAGTTTATTCAGAGAGCATATATATTCGCAGAAAGAATTTATTTGCTGGAATAATCTCTCACTCTTCTGTTGCCATCTTCAAGAGATACTCTTTGTCGATCTTGAAGAGCCTCCACCCCTCCTCAGTGGACAGATCGGAGGCGCCCCTCCTCTTGTAGAACCTGATGGACGGTTCGTTCCACTCGGCGACGAGGAAGTGCATGCTGCTGCAGCGGCACTTCACGGCCACCTGCAAGGCAGGACACACCACGCGCTCACACAGCAGCCCTGGGGCACGGGCACAGCAAGAACCCGCGAGACTACTCAGCAACCAAGACTACTCAGCAACCGTATCACCAGTCATCGAGTTCATTCTGTCAGCCACTTCTCACTGTTTACCAGACTCTAGACAATGTTTTAAGCTGTCTAGTGTCCTGTCATCTCCTTTAAGTCGGAGAAGGGCTGAAGGAGAAGCTCCACGTGGTTAAGAGAAAAGCAAGAACACTGCTTTGTGCTCAGTTCTGCTTGTTTAGACTTAGTGATAAGACATACCTGACTCAAGTTCTTCAGAATTTCTGACCCGATACCAAGTCCTAAAGAAACGAAAAGAAACAAGAAACTTAAGTTTTAAATATAAAAAAGCCTTATAAGAAGCAACTCATCTAATTCTGTAATATATACCTCTATACTCAGCCATCACATAAAAATCTTCAAGATACAGCAGTTTTCCAATCCATGGATCGTAAGTGAAGTAATACATGGCAAAGCCCACAACGCATGTTTCTGAAACAAAGGGTGTAACTTCAGCTCATTTGAATTTAGAAGGCAAAAATATTAAGTCTTACATGCATGTTTAAATATACGTATTCTCTGTGACATGCAGACATTTGATATTGTTAGAATTTAAAATGAAGTTTACAAGTAAGCACACAATTGAAAATACAATTTCTGACAAACTTTTATCAGCCTAATGGAACAAAGTTTGCCCTAGCCATACCCTGAAATCCTCAAAAGCACTATCACAGTAAGTGCTAACACAGGGATTTTTTTCTACGAAGTAATGCACACCTTATTGATTTATCAATATTTCCACTCTGCAATACATGTAAGAACTTTACACAGCAGCTCACAATCTAGATGACTGCCCCAGCTCTGCTTCCTTAGCAACCAGAACAGTCTGTCAAACTCTGAAGAACACTGATCTGTGTACATTCATCAGTAACTACACTGTGTGAGAGGGTCTAATCCCAGGTCACCTTTACAGCAGCATTTCAAGCACCTCAACTTAAGCTTTCATGAGACATCATGCTGCTTTATTTACCTTCAGCACCGTAAAGTCAAGGTAAATAAAGCTACAGCTTCAATTTTAACTCTGTGGCTCAACAGAGAAGAGAAACAACTCTTTCAACAGCAGCCCACTCAAACATAACTTGGAGTATTTTAACTATTTCTGCACATCCTGTAAGAGAAGCGTGCAAACAGGTTTCTGATCTGTGTCTTTGGTAAAGGTTTGGGAACAGCACTTGTCCCTGTAGACCTTACCTCATATTATGATCATCTACTTTATTGTGTAACGGATCTTTTAGTTACCTCCCCGCCCATCCATGTACACGGAAGGGCCATGTACATGGCGAAGCTAGAGACTGTAACCTGAAGATTGGGGACAAATTAAAGAAAAAAATGTGATTCAACAGAATTACATAAAGGTAAGTCAGGGTCAAACAAGAAAAACCATTTAATTAACTGGAGTCAAGTACATTATGTTATACCTGATCTTCCCACGCTCCTAGGATTAGCAACCACTTCAGCAGAGCATCACTATACATTACTGCATTTACCAGTTATCCTACTCCTGCTACCCCAGTTTGCTGGTGGAACCTTATGTACAATCGATAACATTAAGCACACGATGTCTTTGTATTTTTAGCATTCAAAAGTAAGCATCGGGAAGCCTCACCTTCAGACGACCACTGGTCTTTCGGCACTTCTGCAACCAGACAGTGGTAGAAAGGGTGCTCGCCAAAACCATCCTCAAGCAGTTCTAGAAGAGCAGAACACACGGGCACCTGAGCCACAGACACCGTCACTCAGTCGCCCACCCGGAGAGCTGAGGCCGCCTCATACCTTTCTCAGTTAGCACCACTTGGTCCTCCATGTCCTCGTACTTGGCTAGTTCCTGCAAGAGAAGGAGCCGTGAGCGGCCTCTCCCCGCCCCCCCGCCCTTGCGCAACACCTTGTTTTGCTCGGGCCTCATCAGCGCTGATCCCCCCGCGCCGCCGGGACAGAGGGACCCCCCGGTCTGCGCCCCGCCCGCACCTTGATCAGTCGCAGCAGGTCAGAGCAGTCCTCGGGACGAGCGGCGCGGATACTGAACGATGCCATTTTCGGCGGCGCTTCCCCCTGCGGCCCCCTCGGCTGACGAGTCCCCGGTGTGTGAACAGGAGGAGCAGCTGTTTCTTCATTCGTGTCCCGGGCGCGGCGGCCACCTGCGGTCAGTCAGGCTGCGAGCATGTCCCGGCGGCGTTCGGCTGCTGCGGTCCCTGCGCGGCTCCCGCTGCTTCCCCGGCTCGGAGAGTGAAGCCGGCTCGCCCCGGCCGCCGATTTTATAGATACCTGCGCCCCGCCTCCCGCCGCTCGCGGGCCAATGGGCGTGCCCGCTGCTCTCGCCCTCAGCCAATGGGCACGCCCCGCCCGGACCCTGCCCCCGCCCCGCCGGCGGCGTCTCGTGACTCGCCCCCCCCCCCCCCCCATCCCGCGCAGGGGCGCCCCCTGGCGGAGCCGCAGAGTGAGACCCCCCGCTCACCCCGGGGTGGGACCGGCCCTCAGGGCACCCCCGGGACCGCCGGGAAGGCCGGGGCCGCTGGGACCCCCGGCTTCGCCTCTCCCGCCACTAGCGGCTGCAGATACCCCGAAAAGCGAGCCCCGCGCTGCCCCTGTCTCGGGGCTCTCCCTGGAGGGGCACCGTGTTAAAGGGCCGCGGCGCCGCCCTGGCCGCGGAGCCGTGATGGCGCGGTTTGTGCACTGCTGAGGGGAGAGGCGGGGGAAAAAGCCTCGGTATTTGCTGGGAATACGGAGTAATGGTCCGTATCCAAGCCTGCTGCGCGGGGGAGGGTGTCTAGCGCCAAGGTGCGCCCCCGGGCGGGAGCGTCCTGATGGAAAAGAGTTCAAAACGCCGAAGTTTAACCTTGGGATCGGGACGTTTTCCAGCCTGGCACAGGCACCGTGACTCCCCTGACCAGAGGGGAAGGGGCAGTGCTGTCAGAAGCACAAAGGACAGGAGTGGTTTCAAAAGGGGGGGAAGTGCCAATAGTCTGGCCTAAGGGAGGCTGAGACTCCATCCCGATGGAGGTATGGATGTCCCTGAGGACAGCGGTGGGTAAGATGAGGAAATTCCATCTGGATAGACCCCAAAATGACTTTGGAGTTTGCAAAGATGGAAGAATTATTCCCAGCCCTGCTCTTCTCTGGACATGACCTACAGATGTTGACCTATGCCGAGTTGGATCATGATTTAGGTGATTCTCTGATCTACAGACCCAGCTAAGCCACCCAGAGGAGAAGTGCAATTCCTCGGCGTACATGAGGTTTTCTTTTCACCCTCTTCTACTGCTGTGCAACTATCACATCCATCCTGAGATACTGTAAATGAACTCTTGATCTTAGATTTAGCTTAATCCGACTTAAGAGTGGTTTGGGATATGGGAAGGCACTGTCATGCTGCTGACTCTCACAACACTCACACCCTATTTTTCAGTGTATCCAGTACTGGTCAAGATTCGCCTTTATTTAGACAGAGGGGCAGCACGAAACATGATACTACAAGAGAATTGCATAAAGAAGTGTGCATTCTGGTGGCTGGTGTTAGCCAAGAAAACCTTTTGGCACACAGTGGAAAGTGTCTGGAGCCCTGAAAGAGTAATTTAGGATTTATGCAAACACCCTAACTGGCTCTTTTTCTCTTTTGGAGCAAAAAGGGAGATGAGCAAAGAAGAGAAGCATTTCCAAATCACAAAGCAGCAGCCAATGGCTAGTAATAGAAGAGCTATGATTTATTTCATGGGTTGCGGATCCCTCAGGACAGGGCTTTTGGTAGGGAGACTGAATCTGAATAAAGTAGGAAAGAACAGACTGAACCTAACTACATACATTTAATCAATATACATTTTTTCAATTCCTAGAAGTGACCAGACTGGGATAAAAAATGGACAATACTGTCTCTGTGAAAGACAGCAGTGTTTATGTTGTCTTAACTCCTCTTGTTTTGCATTTCACAATGAGGAAGTCATGCTATCAGGAAACCTGCTGTTGTATAAGAACAGAAAGTGCCTGGCTTCTTTCTTCTCAAGTCAGAAAAGTCACGTGACTTTCAAAGCTGAAGTTTCAGCAAAAAAACCCCAACAAACCCAAACATTTTCCACCTTGACTGTTTTTGAAAGTCCTACTTACTCAGAAATATGCTGATACCATGTTACCCCAGTTAATATAGTTCATTGGATTTAGCTTTCAAAGTCACAAGGCAAAAGGAAAAAATAATCAAAACCCTCTTTAAATATAAAAAATAATTTTCTAAGCAATAGGAAATGCAGAGAATTAAGAAGGAAAGAAAAGAAAGAAAGAAAGAAAAAGAAAGAAAGAAAAAGAAAGAAGAGAAAAATACCTAATTAAGATATCTAGATCTCAGAGACCATGGTGCAATTATTTAGTTACATATTAATAGAGGTATTTTTCCAGAATAAGTAAGATTAATAAGAATGGTAAGAATATTTTACAAAGAGGTTCTAAAAGAACTCAGTTTTGTGAATTAATCAGATTGATGGGGCTTGTATTTTACAGCTTCTTCCTTTTGTCTCAGGTCTGTTTGTCACTGAGCAAGTTTTGTCTCATCTTGACATAGCTGAAGTCAGTGATGAAATCTCTAATGACCTGCACAGGGCTTGGATTTTATCCTTGAGTGGTCACAACCTGTTCATCTGCCTTTCTCTCTAAGGCAATGAGCAGTGGCAAGTCTCCTGAAAAGGATAAAGGTTTTCTCAAATTATGCAAGTAGGTATGCTGGCAGGTGGTTAGAAAATGTGTTTAAGGTAAACCAGTGTTGAAATAACTTGTTATAATGAAATAGGCACTGAAGTCTGGATTAGCTCACTTTTCTGTACCAGCCAGTGGCTTCTTCCATGCAGAACCTGCCAACTGTGAATCCATCAGCATTTGCACCAGGAGGGTTGGACTTTGGTCTTTGAGAAGTAGAATGGTTAGAATTACATGAAACGAGCATGCACATAATTCCCATTATTCTCACTGCATTTTCTCCCTAAATATTACCTGTAAGAGGAGAACAGAACATTTTGTGCAAAATATCAAGCAGCACTTAATTTTTCAGCATGCAACAGGAACTGCTGTTAATAAAAGCACACAAAGTGTTATGTAGTGACTGAGACATGTTTTCCCCAGATCCTCTCCAGAGATGGAGGTTATGTCTAGTCTGAAACTACCTGAAATAGCCAAGACAGTTCCTTCAGATTCTTCCACAGCAATGCAACAGAACAATTTATGCAGAGTTATGGGACCTCATCCATACTTATACCAAAAGCATGTTTTTATTTGTATCTAATTATCTAATGTTCTTTTTTCTCAGAGGCTGGACAGAAAGGCTCAAAGTGGGCACCAGTTTTCTTTCTTTACTGTTCAACTAATCAAACTCCCTTTACTTCTCCTATTTTAATTTCTGATTTCCTCCTTCGCTAGGAAGATTCCTTGAATTCCTGCATGAATGCCTCTCTCATGCCTCAAAGGTTCTCTGTTTGTAATAAGACAGGAAGGAGAAAAACTCCTTATTCCACATTAGAATGCAGTGAGTTAATTTTTCATTGCACTATTAAATATTTTCAAGTATTTCAATCCAAATTGTATCTCCTGTCAAATTTCTGGAGCAAAATACAGAAAATGCAATTAATATTCTGTATTGACCTGTAATTTTTCCAGATTAGTCTTTGGATGACATTCAGGATTCTCTTAGCATTTTCAACTGAAAATTTTCTTCCTCATACTTAGACCTTGCATGGATATTTGTGAGTTCATAGTTGCTTCGAGATATTGTATAAAGTAACTCTAAATTACAGTTTGTCAACACTAGGTTGTACATAGGAAAAATATCAATGTCTGTGAGAATAGTACAGAATACTAAATAAATACTGCAGGAACACTGCTCAGAATCCAGGGCAAATGCAAAATTAAGTTTCACATAATAAAGCTACATGAATTTCCATAAGCTGAAAATAAAAGGACCATAATTTTCCATTATTATCTCTGAAGGCATATTTTAGATCATTAGAACCCTATTCCTGTAAGCTAATACATCTCATCTGTCATTTGTAATTTTGCACTTTAATGATTTTGGGATTTAGACATACCTAATTATCTGCCTGCATCCACAAATCATCTATCTCATGTGTGCAAATAATTTGGGGTATAAAAGTTATAGCAATAAATGTTGGGAAAAAAAAATCAAGCCAGCCCTCAGTTTTATAACTTTATGTTTTGTATACAGTAGAAGTCCCTTTAGCTCTGATCCTGCAGTACACTTAAATCAGGAGGAACGTTCTCAGGCTCCTAAAAGAAACCTAGAGAATATAAATTTTTCCTTAATACTAATGGGGGTTCTCACAATGAGCAGGTGGTTTTCTTACATGTCACAACCAGAGTTTTGTCTTTGGCACAGTCTTTTGTACTGCCCAGAGGTGATTCTTTTCTTGATTTTTGGACATTCAGCATGCATGTATAACAGGTTTCCACATTTTTTCCCATGAGAGATGAATGAGAAGTTTTGCAATAGCACTATCAGCTTTTTCTCAGAATCACAGAATGGCTTGGGTTGGAAGGGACCTTAAAGACCATCCAGTTTCAACCTCCTGCTGTAGGCAGGGACACCTTTCACTAGACCAGGTTTCTCCAAGCCCCATCCAACCTGGCCTTGAACACTTTTCTCTGCAGACTCTCAGAGATGGCCTATGCATGGTCATGTCACAAGAGGCGTGTGGCTGGCTGGGCTGGCACATACAAGGGCTGTAGCTGGGGACTAGACTTGTACGGTGTTTGGGGTGTGGGCTGGCTGAGAGGAGCCTTTCCCCTATCTGCCATGCCTGCAGCTCTCCCACTTGCTGCCTCCTCCAGGGGCAAGGTTCACCCACCAGGCCCCTCTCCTGTGTGCCCAGTTGTGCAGTCATGAAACAGCAGCGAACTGCTGGCACCACGTCCACCACAGAAAAGCCGTGCTAGTAGCAAGAGTCCGATCCAGGTGGGTTTCACTCGGTGTCCAAGGCACAAAACATCAGTCACTTGGTCTTTCAAAACACCAATCAATTTAAAACTGCAATCTATCGCAAGTCTCATATAAAAAAGACACCAACCCTATTTTTTCAATCAGTTTTGTTTGTTTAGAAGCAATTTATCAAAAAGAAGGTGACAGTGAAGAGAGTGATCAGGTGTTACTTTTGCAAGTAATGAATAATTTGGTTAATGTACTTTCACTGTTTGCTTGAACATGTTTTCTTGTGTCCTCATACAGCCTCGGTGGTGTCTTTGATAAGTCTTTGGCAAGGTGTGCTTAGCAACTTCATCGCTAACTCCTAACACCGGTATAGATCCAAGTCCCCGGGAGGTGCGGACACGGTTTCGGCGAGTGCTCCCAGGTCTGGTCCTCACGGTCTCTGTGCAGAGCCGGCTCTGCCCGAGCACCCTGGTGTAGGCCCAAGGCCATCTCTGCTCCAAAGTTCTTCAGCTCCCAGGAACAGAAACAATTCTGACGAATTAAATTTGTTGATTGTTCGCCTGTGCAAAGCGCACAGTTCATTTAACGCGGCTGTGTTTTCTTAAATCCTCTTCCGCCCAGGAAATTCCAAGGCTCTCGAATACCTCCCTGGGCTCTCGATTACCTCCCTAGCAGTGCCCCCAAGCGACGGGCCGGGGCAGGAGGCCGCGTCTCCCCACGGCCGTGTAACAAGAGCCCGGCCGGCCCCAGGCCCGCCCTTCTCACGGCACAGGGAAAAAACCCGAGCATTAAAATAAAATAAAATAACGGTGTTTACTGAATACAAGCCCCACACAGGGTCCGCCCGCTCTGCCGGGCCCGCCCGCTGACAAACGGTGTCCGGCCCCAACCTCCGCCCCCGGGAGCGGCCGCGCTGCGCGGGCACCGGGACAGGGGGAGGCCGGGCCGGGGGCGGGCAGGGCGAGGGCTGCCGGCTGCGAGCAGCAGGAGCACGCCCAGGGCCCGTTCGTGCCCGGCGAGCCGCTGGCACTGGAGGACTGCGTGCCTGGGGCAGGCGTGGCCGCGCTGTGACTGCCCCGGCCCCGGCGAGCACCATGCTGCCCTCCCGGTAAGGCGCCCCCGAGCCCACTGCCCCTGGCCCGGGTGGGGAGTGGCGGCCGGGGAGGAGCGGGCCCTGAGGGGCGGAGGCGGCGGGGCCCCGGCGGGGCCGGGGTGCTCTGGGCAGCCGCCGCCGAGAGGGCCCCGGGGCGCGGTCGGGGCGGGGCACCCGAAAGTCCATCGGCGCCTGGGCCGGTCCGGGGCACCGGGCGGGAGGGCAGTCCCGTGGGACCGCGGGCGGAGGGGATGGCGTTTGCGGGCCCTGCCGGGAGACACGAATCCAGAGGCTCCAGCAGTTACGGAGGCGTTTTCACCATTGCCATTCACGTCATCTCTAGTGCATATGACACTGCTGGATTCCGAGGGGATTTTGTGTGTGTTCTCTTAAGTACTTCTGGTATATATGCAGATAGATATGGCCCTACTTTTCTGCTGGTGCCTGAGGACCTGCCACCTTTTCTTTTTTGAGGTGAAACCCCAGTCCCAGCTGAAGAAAATTAAGGGACCAGTAATCCATGTTCCCTGTCAGGATGATACTGTGAACTATCACAAGGACTTTTACACCTGTCGATCCTCTGTGTCTTTTTGTGTTACCACAGTTTTATTTGCTGGAGGAATAGTAGTGGCCACTACCTGGTAGAACACTTACTGAATTGTGAGTGGATTACATTCTCTGTAGGGTTTCAGGGTTGTCCCTTCTTGCCTAATGTCTAATAGGATTATATGCTGCACTTTAGGCTTGTCCTGAATTGCTGCAGTACTAAACCATGGAGGAGAAGACTGGGTTTAGCTCAGTGGGGCTGCTTGGGAGACCTCGAGAAATCCTTCTTGGGATATTCCTCCTTCCACTGCTGTGCACGCCAGCAAAGTGTATGGGTAGGGTCATGGATGATTTCCTAGATGCACATGGACCTTGTCTGTGTTGAGATGCTACAGGGTAGAAGCTAGTGTTGGGTCTAAGCTGGTGTCCCAGGGCATCTGAATAGTCAGTGAAGAGATCGATTACTGCCAGTGAATCTTCCTTCCTTCCTGTTTTCAGATAAGGATAGGAATCAGCTGGAATTTCAACTGTCTTGGAACTGTTGTATTGATTGTATCCAGTTCTAAAAACTAACCTGAAAATAAAGAATGGTGTTTCGGAAGTAATCAGCATAATTCCAAAATTAAATGCTAAATTATTTTCATGGTATTATTTTTAATGACACTAAATTCTTCTGCTCTGCATGTAGGTTGTGCATCATGAGGAAGCTTCCTTCTGTTCTGGCTAGGACACTCACTTCTAGGACCACTGGCTCCCCAGTGCTTCCGGACATGTTTGAAGGTAAAGTAATTGGCTGTACTCCAGAAGATGTAGAGATGTTTCTAAGGAATTTATTCTTTCAGGTGATGTCCCTGCATGAATTAATATCATTTGGATAATGAGCGTGGTCTTGGCTGTTGGCTCATGGTATAAGTATTTAGGAAGCAGAAGAAAGTTACTGTGTTTATTTGGGGATTAATGGCAGAAGGATAATCACTGAAGTTGCAATTTAAGGTCTTGTCTGGTTCTCTAGTCTTGGAAGACCGTGTCTTCTTTTCTGGCAGGATAACTGACTGGAGAGAATGACCAAGAAATGGGGGAACTGAGTGAAAATAATGTCTCACAGAACTTTAATGTGTCAATATGGTTAATTTTGTAAACTTGGAGAAATCTTTTAATCGGATCAGCAGCATTGCCTCGTGAAATTGCTCGTCAATAGATATTTGTGTTGAAAGACTGTTGCAGCACTCTAATAGAATAAACCATAATATTCCTGTTTCAGAAGCTTTAAAATCTTTTTCTTGCATTCTAATCCCTTGAACTGAGAAAAGGGCAGGAGGAAAAAGGCTGGAGCCAGATACAAATAATTCCTTCATGAAGGTTTGCTTGTGTCTGAGATCTTCTTTTCCTCTTTGTTCTCAAAACAGAAGTTAGCCAATAAAAGAGAAAATTAGGGTTATTCATTATTAGATAACTTATTTTCATTATTGTTAATAAATGGTAATTTAAGACGTTAAGAGAGAGAAGCAAGTATACAGAATATTGCATACTTGCAAATATTCCCCTAACTGTTTAGTTAGATGTTTAAAAGGCTTGTAAAAGCAGTGAAGCATTGAGGCCATCCTGACCTTGCCTCTGATTAGTGCTCCAATATTAGTGCTGCAAGTGGTACTAATATTTTGAGGATTATAATAACTGTAAACATTTGAGATTCTATTTCAAAATTGTAGCATTTAAATGTTACACAATCCTTTGCTGATACATAAACTACTTTCCTTTAATTATGTGTCCATGCATTCACAAAAAAACAAATACTTTTTCTTACTAGCTTTTCACATGCTTCCTCCCATCTTTGGGTCCCAGTTGTGAGCGCCCTTCCTTCTTCCATGGTTCTCCCAAAGGCTACACGAAGCAGGACTTCGGAAGTTTCCTCTGAGATAACTCTCATCCCACTTCCTGAAAAATGCTCCAGTTATTCTTTCCAAAGTTAATAGTGTTTGTCAACAGCACATGGGAGCACCGGGTTTGAAAAACCTTTTGGGATTATGCAGCAAGCAGGTATCACAGAGCCAGTAGACAGGGAACTGGGAAGCTAACTTGTAAGGGAAGGACAAACTGAGTTGAAAACACCAAGATACTGACTGTAAATCAGGCAAGGACAGATTGCTTGCACTTATTAAAATTAAGGAACATGTGCCTGAATGGAACTGAAGCAGGTAGAATAACCAGGTAACTCCTTACTAGATTAAATTAGATGTAAATTGTATTGTTTCTTTTGATTGGTAATCTAACCTGTGTTCTCTACTCCACAGGACATTCACCTATTCATGTGAATAATGGTGTGTTGTGGTAATCTGTACATATTAAAGTATTTGCTATAGCACTAAACTCACTCAGCTACTGTTTCTCCTTACTTTAGCATTCATGAAAAGTGAAATGCTATTATTCTTCTCTGTCCACTTGCTTACAGCCACTTTGCCTTGGGTGAATGGCTCTGATCTTACTTGTGACAGTATTGTTGTACCAGATCTCTGTCAGCACTCTGTGTTTGTGCTGTGCTGGATAACACGTGTCTAAGAGGAGCGTGGGATACAAAATCTCTCACAGCAGCAGCTCCTGCAGTACTTGGCTTCAGTTTAAACACTGGAATATGCGTCTTTCACCTGAGTCTGGACCAAGCTCTGTACCAAAACTGGTAGTCAGATACATTGCAGTGATCTGCCTGAACCTGGATACAGCCTGGGAAGGCACCAGGACAGAAGATGTGGATCTCACTGGCAAAGATGAATGCAGTGATCTTGTCCACCTGTCCTTGTGTCGTTTGTCACAGCACAGTGCAAATAAACTCAGACCCTGCTGCTCTGGCATTAATGATCTACTGACCACAGTTTAGGAGATGCTGTGAAATATGCAACATGGTAAAGCTGGATAAGCTGCACATTTAAGACATTTGCCAAATATTAAAAGATAAATAGTTTATAGATTTTTGTGCTTAACTACCTAAATTTCTATTTTAAGATAAGTGATATCTAGAAGGGCCATAAAGTTTTTCCAGGGAGGAGAAAAAAAAAAAAAAGATAAAAATTATGTGTTCTTAGCCTGGCAAATGTTTGTACATCTAAAATTGAAATCAGGAGTATTAAACGGAAGTAACAGCTTATATACATTTTTGCAGGTTTGAACTTGAGACTTTTCAGAGCTTTTAAAAGGAAGATGAACTTAGTTTAAACAAAGAGAAAGTGCTGTTTTTTCCCCCTCCATCCCAGCACGATCTGCACACTGTTGAAAAATTGAGGTTTTGTGTTCTAGAAGCTGTAACAGTGTTTCTGCTAACACTGTATTTACCAAGTGCATCCTATGGCAGCTTCACAGGTGGAGTATGAGTAACAGGAAAGTAGTACCTATTCTGTAAATAAGCCTGCTGCTTCTTAAATAAAAAAGAATCAGACCTTCCTCCCTTCCAAAAAAAAAATCAACTCTTAAGATTTTTAATCAGTTTTTTTCACTGGAATTTTTTTTTTTTGTTCTTAGAATTAATAGTGGAAGTCTTCTCATTTCAAAACGTACTTTAGCCTAATTTCATAAATAAATGAGGCCTAAAAAATCTATTTTATTTTGTCTATGTCTGCCTGTCTTCTTGTCTCCCTCTTCTTCCAGAGTCTTTTGTTGCTTGATGTCAGCCAAAATAGATGAGCCGCCAATCTCAAAGGGAAATGTGTTTCCACAAGCTTTGTGGAAATTGGCTTCTAAATCAGAGGTTTGTTAGAGTGCCAGAGCCAGTGCTGGGGTCAGCCACAGACCATGGTGTTTGCTGGCAGATGGAGAGGGACTGGGATCTGTGTGCTGGCTGGCAGTCAGCCCTTTGCCTGCCTCTGGCTCGGGCAGGCAGAGCAGAAACAGGCTGGGAGTGTAGGGGCAGGGACTGAGGGTGCTGCAGGGGAAGGAACAAGAAAGAGGAGGTGTGGGGTATTGCTGTGGTGGTGCTGTGGGGGGACTTGGGCAGAAACTGTGTGGGAAGGAGGGAGGCAGAGCTGAGTGAGTCTGACTGAGAGAGGGGAATTTAAATCCTAGGAAATCATGCTAGGCTTGCTCCAGGGTTCACAGGACAGTTTACTGATCACTGTGAATACTCTGACAGGGCATTTAGCTTGAAAAATACCAAGCCTGATAGAGGATCATCAGCAGCCCTCTTTCTATTTCACTATGAAATTTTGGATGTTTTTTGGTAGCCCTTGCTTGATGTGTCCCTATTTTGTCCTAATACTTGAACCTCCTTGTATAAAAAATATTTGCAAATAAGCAAGGAATCCATACTATACAATTCTCAACTTCTGTTATGAGCTTGGGAATTGTTGCTGCTTGTTTTCAGGTGTTTCCAAATAGTCAACATTTACCTGCCTAACAGCAATGAAGTAGTTTAATAGATTTGATGGGACCCTGGCACACTTAACTTCATCTGAGCAAGAGTAGAAAACCTGCTTGAGCAGATTATTCTTGAAATTTAGGAAAGACTCGTACAGGACTTGTATTAACCCTGACAGTACAAACAAGACCAGAATAAATTTTTTAGGCCTATCTTCAGTGTCATAACATGGAGACAGCTAAAAATTTGGGTTCTAAAACAATGCTGGCAAGAGCCAGGCTGCTGCTATTACTTGCCTTCATGGGTGGGATTATTTAATTGGAATTCTTCTGATTCCCTTTCTCCCAGCTGTACTGTTCCCTTTTATGTTTCTGTGACTTTCTGATTTATCTCCACAGTTTGTGTTTAGGCTGTAATATTTTCATACCAAAATTCCTCAGTCTGATCTCAATCCACTCTCTGTTTCAGCTGTTAATTAGCACTGGAGATGACTGCACTAACAAACACTTTCTTGGCTGTACACAATAAGCTATGGCACCATGTTACTCATCCCATTACTGTGATATGCCTACTAACAGCATCAGTGAATTTGGCCAGACTTTTGTTTCGGGGCTGCTATTTGCATGAATTTGTTTAATTTTCCTATTCTGGGATGAGGATTATGCCTTTTAACACCAGGCAACCTCACATTCATCACTTGCAGAACTAAGCTTGATTTGCTTTGATTTTTTTTTTTTTCCAGTGCGGAACAAGTTGAGGGATATAGTGGGAGCATCTACCAACTGGAGGTACAGTGTGTATTAAATGTATTTTACTTTATTTGTGAAACTGAGGTAGTTGAAACAAGGATTTTGAACTGGTACTTTGTGGATCACAAACTTCTGATTTTTCTCTGGCAGAAGATCTTTAGCACTAAAGGAAAAAAATATGTGATCTTGATGTGTAAAAGACTGTCCCATTAGCTTTGAATCCAATGGAAGTTTTAGAGCTGTAAAGTCTGGCTGACAGTGTCATGGTGCTGTTACCTCTGGAGTTATCTCTAAGTGCATTGCCCATGTGGTGAGTTTATCCTGCACTGGACTCAGAGGCTGGTTCACTGTGAAGCAGGCTGCATGTCGCTTTGGACAGGGTCTCCTTAACCGGGAGCATCTTTAGCATTTCCTTTGTATGCTCTAACTTAATTTTTGAATAATTTACATATAACTTAAATAATTGATGTTTTGACTTTATTCATGTTATTATTATTGTTACCTTCCTCCACCTCCATTACATTGAATAAGCCAGAGTTGACTGTAATCCTCTACTGTTGCAGCTCTGGAAAACTCAGTATTCTGTATTGCAGCTTGGTTGGTCCCATATGTATTGTTTATTTTCTTATGGCTGTGTTTGCTCTTCCTTCACACTTTGTGCACTGATAGGGGAATGAAGAGAGGTTTACCTGGGTGGAATGTCTGATGAAGGCCTTCTGATTCAGTTTATCTAGACAGAATTGTAGGCATGCTAACAAAAGTGCCTGAATCCAGGAAGCTGATTTTTACTTAGTAAGAGTAGTGTCTAAGCATGAGGGGGCTTGAAATTTTCAGTGGGTGAGCTAGAAAGGGCTCTAGAATTGTTTTATGAAAAAGCCTTTCCCACAGCCCCGAATGGCTGAGGAGGAATGACTCCATATGGAACTACCATCAGAGGACTGAGATTTTGGAGGGCTCTGGTCACATCTGCTCCACTGCTCCCATCCTGGAAGGAGAGCAGACTGAGGCCAGGATCAGCACAGCAGTGCTTTTCTTAGATAGGTGTGTCTTTTACAGGATGCAACAGAAATGGTTTACAGAGTACCGAATGCTTCAGCTGCCATGGAGAAGTAAAGCCAGGGAGACCAAAGCTGGGAGTGCTTGAGAATGATAGGTTTAATATGGTGAGGTTGGGAAGGCTCATGGAGCCTTTGAGATCTCACTTTTAAAATGCATTGACAAAGAGTTGATGCATGTGGAGACTGAACATGTCTGGGGATGAAACTGAGGCCACAGAATGACTGAAGAGAACAAATCTGAGAGAATAGGATGATAGGGGTCCTGAAATTTGAGCTAGGGAGAGACTGGTGTACATACATCTGGATTGCTGGGAGAGAGGAGAGATGCGTGTTGGAGGAATACCTTCAACCATAAATTTTGTGAAAAGTAAACTTCAGTTTGTGATTTGTCTTGTAAAGGCCAGTGGCATTTTGTATTCACTTGTTATTAAAAAGAAATATCTTGCTTAAACGGTTGTTTTGGTTTTGTACCTAAATTGTAATTAAAACTATTACTCTGTTCATTGTTAAATATAGTCTAGAATTGTGGACATTTCAGAAATAGATAAACATTTCTCAGAATGTTTAGGGCAGGTGCTAGTTAATACTCAGATGAATTATTGTTACTGTATGAGTAGTACTGCAGTGTGTAACAGTATTTGTCTGTTGAAAAATGTTATTGTATTGAGCCCAATACTTCTGTATATTGAAATGCAAATTCTGAAGTGGAAGTCAAGAAGAGTTCTGCTGCTGACCTCAGATGAGCCAGGATGGGACTGGTGAAAACAGAATATAATTAAATTTTTATTGTTTGGTTTCCTTTGTGTTTGTAGACAAATTTCTGATTTACTCTCTGATTATTTTTCTTAAACCTTTCAGTGAGAGACCTTGGAAAAAAGTTTTTTAAAAAGCCTGAAGGTGCATCCTTTTGGACATTACATCTTTCCTTAATCATCTCGTATGTTCTATTTCTGTGCAGTGGCATAACTTCAAACATTAACCCTCTAGAGGAGGTTGTTATCTTTCTCTTTCCTCTGAACTCTGTGGTAGTCATGTTGCCCAGATGGGGTAAACCATATCTCCTGTTTAAAACAAACAAACAGATGAAACTAACTGAAGTTTTCTGCTAGGCTTTTACTTTCTTTGATCGTGGATTATTCATATTTCCCCAAAACTTATTAAACAGAAGAGGGAATATAAATATGGTGAAGCTTGACTTTCTGAAAGAAAACTCAAGCCAAGTAAGCCTTCATCTTAAATGGCTAATATCCAGCATTCATCCAAAGTCAAAACTTTAGACAAAATTTCTTTTTGGTGAAAAGGTTCTCCCTTTCTCCTCCCTCTCTCTGTCCCCCTCTCTCTTTCCCTCTCTGGTTTTGTTAAGCACAGTGTCACTGATCTCAGCAACGCGTCATGCACAGCTGAAGGAATGGCCCATATCCAGAAGTTTAACGTTGGTTGCTTAGTGTTTTGTGCCTTCCCTTGCTCTATGAAATGGATCCATAGTTTTGCATACTCCTTGGAGCTGTTGCAAGTTTAACCCTTAGGTTTTTAATAGATTCTAGGGCTGTTATGAAATATTTGCTTTATTCAGTTAGGTTGCACCTTTAAGAGGAGGGAACTTTGGTGGAAGAGGTAAGAGAGAGTGTTGGGCGAGATTGTTACATCTTGTTGGTTCCTTGCACAGGTATGTACTTGATAGATTGCAGAGAAGTGACAGTAAGTTGGCCCTTATTCGGCTGTGGGAGTTGCAGCCTTTCTGAGTTGGTGGTGCTGGAAAAGCAGCTCTGAAGGAGCAGTGCTCCCTTTTCTGTATTGTTTCTTTCTGTAACTTTTCTGTATATTCGTAAGATGTCTGGGTAGGAAGAGAGAGAGAGAGAAATGGGCTGGTTTTCCCTGTCTTTTAGCTTGCTCTGTGAACTGGTGCTGTAAAGGGGCAAGTCTCCTGTGGATGATAGCAAGTCTTAGCAGGTTAGTTCCCTTGTTTTTAGTACTAGCCAACACTGTACAGCTGCTTCTTGGGAGAGATTATAAATTGATGTTCAGTTCTTTAAAATTGTCATTGTGGCAAGAGTTGTGATACTGTAGCGAAGGAAGACATGAGTATGCACAGAAACTTATAGATTAAATAATGCCTGATTAGTTCTTTTCAAGGGGAGCCATTTTGGTAACATTCAGAATTATTTTTGCTCATAAGTGTGAAGTATGTGCTTGCCACTTGTACACAAAGCTATTTCAAAGCTTTATGCAGTAGTCTTGCTTAGCGTCTCTCGTTATGTGCATCTCCCTTTCTTTTCAAAGCACACTTACTGTGTCCTGCTATTTGTACTACATTTTGTTTTTCATTTTGATAATCATCAGTGTGACATCTTTTAGCTAGGGTTGCAGTTCTGTTTCGTACTCCAGACAGAACTTTTTTTTTTTTTTTTTCTTACCAGTGATCATGTGCAAGCAATGCAAGAAAGAAAAGCTCTTCATACGTTACTGGCAAAACGTCAGGAAGACCTCCCTGCTAGGAGAATGAAGGATAGCTACTTGGAAGTTATTCTACCTCTGGGAAGTCAGCCTGAAATAAGAGAAAAATACCTGAACGTACACAACAGTGTGAGGTAACAAAGCAACCATGTTACACATACAGGAAACTGTTAACTTCCATTTGCTGTGTGTAGGTATTTAATTGTCAAAACCCCTGTCTTACAGGTTTGGAAGGATACTTGAAGATCTGGACAGTTTAGGAGGTGTGTATTTGTGCCCTTTTAAACACTCCACAAAGTGACTTTGAGTACTGCTGAGCACTGTTTGGTGTGATACAGTATGACCTCAGGCAGGGAATCCCATAACTGTGCTATCTCAAAGGGGAGGGGAAAAAAAGAAGACACTGATGCTGAAAAGAAAGGATAGATGATAAAGAACAGACAGATTCAAAATTGTTCCACTTCAGCTTCTTGCCTCTGTCAAATTTTTAAAGGACCAGTTACAAGAATAATTTACTGAAAAGTGGTTTTAGATTATGAATCTGCATTGAGTGTTAACTCAGAGATAATTTGCACAGTGTGCATTGAAAATTAAAAGTTTTGATTGTTTTTTCTTAAAAAAAACTCAAAAAAACCTGACACAAAACCCAACAGAGGTTGGAAATATTTTAATCTTCCCTTTGGGGTGAAGAGAGTATAATCTGGAAAGAACAGAATGTAAGCACTGAGAACAAATTAAAAACAACTGATGTATATTCTTGGGTTCTGTCTCCAAATTGATATTAAGGGTAAAACCAGCTCAATTATTTCATTAGTTAGCATCCTTAATTTTTTTTCTTCTTTTTATTTATTTGTAGTCTTGAAAAGTTCAAGATCTTTGACTTTTGTATTGCAGTTAAAATAAGTGTTGATAGAACTTGGAGATACTTTTATCTTAAAAAGTCTCCAGGTGACTTCTGTCTTCATCAGAGTTCTGGAGCTGGTTGGAAGCTTTTCAGCTGAGCTTTTTGACAAAGGATAAGTGCTTATTAAGGGAAAGCTGTGAGTGGAACAGTTTTTTCTGTTCCTTCTGAAGGTCCAGATACACAAAATTGAGGAAGGCAGAGAAGCAAGTGAAAGCATGTCTGTCTAGGATAGACACAATAGCTGGATGATTTATATTTCCTTCGAGGAGGTGGAAGGTACTGTCTTCAGCACCTGTCCTGAATTAGAAAAGGAGACTTCAAACTGTTGGCTACCCTCCACTATTAGATGAGATAAGCCTGTTTTTTCATTCTGTGCCTTGGCTATTTTCCCTGAAAATCTGTGAAGACCTTATTTTTAGCTGTGATGGCACAGAATGTCTTTGCCTTGTTTGTGGTCATACTGTGCTTCTGTCAGTTCCACTGGGGATGTCTTGTTTTGGGTTAATCAAGATTCTGTCCCAATTAGACAATATTCAGGATGGCCATAGTGATGTAACGAGTTGATAGGCATAACAGGTTTTAGAATTGTGTCTCCAGTAATTTTAAGGGAAAAAATAGATTACTTGGAAGGACAGAGATCTTTCTTCTGTTATCTTGTTAAGTCCAAACAGATACTTTTGATTATGGAAATCTGTTTTGAGTGAAAGTCACATGAGCACTCAGAAAAACCCTGTTTTTGCAGCCTTGAATTACTCTAAGGAGTCTGTTTACTTGGATGTGCTCTTATGAACAAAGCTAATTAGTTTAAATAGTGGTTTGGCTGGTAGTGACTGTAGTGTGATAAATATCTCTGACTGTGCTTTCATGCCTCTAAGGCACAGCCTATTTAATCTTCACCTCTTTAAAGGAATCAGTATTTTAAAAGTCCTCAAATGGCATGTATCCTTGGACAACCTGCATGAAATCAAAACAGAAGATAGGAAGAGTCCGAGACAGTGGGTTTCAGGAGTAGAGGAAAGAGATTATGTGGGATTTGAAGTAGGGTGATGGGTTGATTTAAAGTGCTTAGCTAAATTTCTCTTTGTAGTGACTAAATATGCATAAAACTGAGTGGCTGCATCACTGTTTTCTTTATAGTAATCCCATGTGTTACATGCATGAAAATGTGGAAGTTGTGCTTTCCTACAGTAGATATTTTAGTTTGTGTTTTGCAGATACTTCTCATGCTTTGCAAAGATGGCTTTGATCTACTAATGTTTTCGTAACAGAGCTGACTCAATTTTTTGTTCTCTCCACAGTTCTTATTTGCTACACTCACACCAAGCAGGAAATGCAGCCAAAGTCTCCCTTATCCATAGTCACAGCTCTGGTGGATAAGATCAGTAAGTGGCAATTTGGCCAGTAGAAATGGCTTCATCTGTTTGTCTTACTCTTTCAGCAGCCACTGCCTTCCCATGGTTGTTATTGAGGATACCTTCTTCACTCTCCAGTTTAGTTCACTTCATCTTTTTTTGGCCTTGAACTCTGGAGTATTGTGGCTTCTGTTGAAGGGAGTAGGGAAGAGGGTTTTGTAGCGCTTTTGCTCATTTTGTCTCTCACTTCACTTCAAAACACAACTTTCATGCTTCCTGCACTTCTGTGTTTAGTTTTCTCTTGGCATATGGGTTTCGTAGCTTCATTATGGCCCAGTGTTTGTTCTGGTGGAGTTGGGACCTTGCTTGTGTCACATGTTCTGCTGAACACCTCCAGGGGTCTGCTGTCCACCTGTGTGACTACTTCCTACTCCAGTTCTGGCTTGAGAAGTCTGGAAAGGCAGAAACTGCAGACCAGCAGTTTGGTCCTTTGCAACAACCGGCTTTTCCGGGTTGTCTTTGCCTGTGTTGCCACTTTGACAACACAGAAAGGCCTTAGAGGATCTGGCCTTTCTGGTAATAGATGTGAGTGATCTGTCTCCAGTAACCCCTAATGTTTGTCTTGTAGATTTGTGCAAGAAGATTATATATCCAGACTGTGACATCAAATTCACAGGCAATGTTTCTTGGGTTGGGAAGACCTCAATGGAAGTGACAATGCACATGCTGCAGGTTAGTTCCTGTGACTTCTCTCCATCTTATGACAGGCATGAGGTGCTTCAGGGGAAATTCTGGATGATGGCATGAGCAATCTAAATTATATATTTCAGAATAACTTTCTGAAGGGCTTGAGACAGCCCTAGTGTTCTGCAGACCAAGACAACTTCCAGTAGTCTCGGTGCAGCAAGGCAGTCTTGCTAATCTTTCAAGACGTGCATTTTTCTTAACCAGTATTTTGTACTTAAAGTGCAGCACAGTACTCTGTGCTCTGCATGATCTCAAAGCTTCTCCCTGCGTCTGAAAAACTTTTTTTCCCTTATGCCTTTGCATTTTATAGATTTATGAATTTTAATGTTGATATTCAGACTTGGTGTTAAATTGTACCTCATGTGCTCATCTTATCTACTGTGTAGCATAATTTTTTTAATGAGTTATTAAATAATAATAGAATATAAATGAAGGCTTTAACTAGGGTACACTATGCAGGAAGCAAAAGGAACATTAATAATTAAATTTAAAAAATCTTAACATTTCTAAGAAATAATTGCTGTGAATTCATTAGTTAACTGAAACATTAATTCAGTTATTTAATTATTTAGAGTAAAAAAGTTATGCTATAAACACTTAAATGATACTAGTGGCTCCTTTGGAATGAGTCCAGAGGAGGGCCTCTAAAACAATCAGAGGGATGGAGCACCCCCCCTCTGAGGAAAGGCTGAGAGAACTGGGGCTGTTCATTCTGGAAAAGGGAAGGGTTTGGGGTGACCTAGTTGTGGCCTTCCAGTACCCGAAGGGAGCCTACAAGAAAGATGGAGAGGGACTTCTTAGAAGAGCCTGTAGTGACAGGACAAGAGGCAATGGCTTCAAACTGAAAGAGAGTAGGTTTAGATTAGATATTAGGAAGAAATTACTGTGAGGATGGTGAGGCTCTGGAACAGGTGGCCCAGAGAAGTTGTGGATGCCCCATCTCTGGAAGTGTTCAAGGCTAGACTGGACAGGGCTTTGAACAACCTGTTCTAATGGAAAATGTCCCTGCCCATGGCAGGGAGATTAGAACTAGATGGTCTTTAAGGTCCCTTCTAACTCAAATAATTCTGTGATTCTATGATTCTGTAATAATTCAGAAAAACAGATAAATATTTTCTATTCACTTGGTCTCCCTAAATAAAATCTCTTATGTAGAGGATAATGTTACACCTTTATTGTCTGAGTTCCTTGCAGTGCTGGTATTAGTGGCAATTTGGTATTAACAAAAAAAGTATTTTTTGGCATTTTTCAGAATAAATGTTAAGTGGGTACTTTTGCAGTGCCTGTGTTGATTTTCTCCCCCTCCCAGCTGAAAGCAGTTAATAAGCATTCCCTGCTAAATGTTTCATTGCAGAATTCCTGAATCTAAAGTTTTAATTTGCATTATTTCCTTATCTTTGACCTATTGTGAGAGATGTTGGAAGGTATGACAGAATGTGAAAGCAAGCAAAATAAACGGTGTGGTCGCATAGTTGATGTCAACTAAAGACCTTACTAAGCACGTTTATAATTTTAGGGTTTAATTATACATTTTTTTCTGTCTCTCTTAGCTGCATGATGGTGATTACAGCCCTGTGTTAGATGCAACCTTTGTCATGGTGGCCCGGGATCCAGAGAATAAACGGTAATTTGTAGGACAGGAAAATAGTTTTCTGACTCCTGCTGTGCTGAAGATGGCAAATGTGGCAGCTTGCTCTGTGTGTGTGGAAGCTCTATAATGTAGGTGTGAAATAAATCACATAGTCAGTGTTTTCTGCTGGCAAGTGTTAACTTTCCTGTGACAAGCTTCAGAGTATTGATTTCAGCAGTCAGATGATATCAGGATTTGCTGGTAGTCTTGGGATCTGACCCTTTTCTTTAACAGATTTTCCCTTTGTTTGAGTGACTGGCCTGAATGAACACAAGAAGTGAATAAATCTGCCAGAAACCCACTTGCATTCTAGTAGTTGATACAACTAAAGATAAAGATAGTAGTTAAATGGTCTTTGAGTGAACAATACTATTAATTCCCTAATAGACACTTGATAAGTGTCACCAGAACAATTCAGGCTGCAACTTGCATGTGTAATTAACATGGAACTGATAAGTATTCCCACAGAACTTGAAAAACCCCTAAAGGCTAGTTTTGTTATTTTTCTGGTTTTACTTTGTCTATGATTCCTTAGTCATTAACCTAACAGGCTGCTTAGTTTCAGTTTTGCTTTGTAACTCCAGCATCAGAAGAATGGTTGTATTCCTTAACCTCTTTCCTGTGTAGCCTGTCAAAGTAATAAACTATTTCCCATTTCCAACTAGTTTAAATAATTGCTTGTATTTAATGAAGAAGGATGTGTTTAATTAAAGGATTTTACTTTATTTAATTATGTAGTCCTGATACCATTAGAAGTAGTTTTTAGATTGGTTTCCTTCAGGTTTTTTTTTAAAACCAATGAACCTACTATACATTAAGAAAACCATTTATATTTATGGTTCCCATTCTAAGGACTAATTTTGCAAAATAATTGGATCACATTTGATGGCTGGCTGGACACAAGCCTACTGTGCTTCTGTCCATATAAGGAGGGTATTTATGTGAGGTAAAAGCCCTTCAGAGAGGTACAGGGTACGATAGGTTGGCTGTAGTGCCACAGAACTGTAGTTGTGTGTCTCTTGGACCATAGCAAACCGACATCTCAGAAGCTTGGGGCTTGGGCAGGAGAGCTGAGCTAGATGTGTCCTGAGCTGAGGAGAGGTTAAATAAACTCTACAGTGGAGAAGGAGCTGCTTTGTCTTGAAAATCCAGAGGTTTAGCAAACCAGGAAAGAGTAGTTATAGGAGAGAAGATCCTCTCTCTGTGTGCCTCTTACTGCCAGCACAAGTAAAGGCTTGGGGTAGAGGTGGATTGTTCAGCATATACTTGTGTGTGTGTGTCTGTGTGTGTCTATGTATGTGTTATCTGGAGCAATAGAAAAATAATAATTAGGAATTACAGGGAAGAACAGCTCTGGAAAATAAGCATTTGCCTTTACTTGTGAAAATAATTAAATGTCATATAATTAGGTTAAAGTAAATTTACTTGTGCAGTAAAATAAACATACAAATTTGTGCTCAAGGCATGTCATAATCTTCTTTGATAAGTAGCGCACATGGTAAACAGCTTTTGGCTGTTGATAAGGCTGTCATGGGAGCATGTAGGTTATAAAATACTTGCTAGCTATGCCATCGTGTTTTTTCTATTCTAGGAGGAATGGCACCAGTCAGTTTTTGGTTTAGTCTATCCTAGATCATCATGGTTTCATTTGCTGAGTTTCTAAGCAGCCTTCTGCTTGAATAATCTTCATTTTAGCTTCTTGAGAGGCAGACACGCATCTTTCTTAATTACACTAGGTAGTGTTTGGATCACTTAACTGCCTCTTCAGAGTTAAAGCTAATGGGATGTTCTTTTGGCAGCTCCACATTATGAAATAATGCAATTATTTCTATGATATAACCTGAAGTATGTATTTTCATCTCGTAGCATGTTTGTAAGCAAAAATGGAAGACTGGTATAATGTATGTATAGGATAAATTCTTGTGAAGCTTGTAACTTAAAAAAAAAAATTCCTGTCCATAGGCCAGCATTTGTTAATCCACTCGTTCCTGAGGGTCCTGAGGAGGAAAAAATCTTCAAGCAAGGGGAATGTATGTCGTATTTCCTGGTAGTATGTACATCTGCCTCAGATTTGACTTAATAGCTGGAAGGAAGTAAACTTCAGTAGTTCTGCTACTTAGAAATGCTCCTAATTTATTTAAAATTAAATTTTTTTTCCAGCTCATGTGTGTCAGTAATGTAAGAGAGTTTAAAAGCCTGCTCTCTCATTGCTTGAAAACTTTTGGCTAAACTGAGGGAGAAGGGTGCTCCTGATGTGCTCTGCACATCCTCTGGACTCCTGTGTTTGCAGGATGCTCCCTCTGCTCTCCTAATGCTCTGGCTGATGGATTACCCCATGGTGGACCTGCTAAGTGCATCAGAGCTCCTTACTGTCTGAGTGCCCATGTTCCCTTTGGAAAGAAACTGAGAAAGAGAAAGGGGGAGAGCAGGAGAAGGAGTGTGTAGCTCCATCTTCTTTTGTTCCAAGATAGAGTTTTAAAGCAGAGAATTAGATAAACATTGAAGACTGAATAAACTGGGCAGAAGATCTTTTAAGCTAAAGTTTCAATCGTTGCAGCTAATGGCAAAACCCTAAGCTGATTTTTCTGTAGGGTCTCTTGTTAGATATGTTTTTCTGTACTTTGAGGGTAGTACTCAAGTTTTCTGTAGAAGCAGTGGGTGTCATAGTACAGGTACTGAAGTGCTTCATCAAAATGGTGAGGTAGCAGTAAACTTCTGCTTTATTTCTTCTTTGATGCAGTCAATTCCAAAAGGCAAATTTGTGTTTCAGTTGATTGGACTGTGAAGTTACAGCTTTTAACTTACAGGGAAAAAAAGAAAAAAGGAAAGAGTTGATTTCCAGTCAAAATTGTCAGAGCCTTTATTTGTTTTTTACTTTGAACTATATTACTATGAGGGTTTTTTTTGATATTTAGTGAACAAGCTGAGGAGGATTGATTTCAGCACTGCTTCCTTACTGAAAATGGCTCCCACTGCAGAAGAAAGAAACATCGTGCATGACATATTCCTTAATACTTTGGACACAAAGTAAGAAGGGGAGTGGGCGAGGAGAACCGATGTATTATGAAAGAGAAAAGTGCCTTTTGAGTGGGTGCTCGTAAGAGGGTAATCTGGAATAAATGCACACATTTAAATTCCATGGCATTTTATTTGGGATACAGGTACAAACTTTAATGTGACATTTGCAGTTCTCAAAAGAGTCTTCTGTTGTTACATAGGGTTAGCTGTGCCAAGAGGGTGAAAGCAACAAAGAACTGAGCAAGCTGTTAGGAATGATCTTGAGGAAAAAGGAAAAATGATGTTTAACCAAATAAGGGAATAGATTGGTTTTGCAACCATGACTTCTACAGTCTAAGAAGTTAAAAAAAACTGTGAGGGTGGGAATTGGCCATGTTATGACCAAATAACCTTGTAGTGTGTTTTAAATAAAATATCTGACAACATTATTTGAGAGAGACTGTTGTTGGCATACTTCTCTTATATTTGAGATTGGTTTGAAATCATCTGATGCTAATGGTGATAGAACAGTGTCTAATGACAGTGTTATATTTGTGATAATTTATAATTTTTGAAACTTATTAAAATGATACATTTGTTGTTTTTAAAGCTGTTTACTAAAGGGAGACATGCTTTCCCTTAAAATTAGCAGATGTATTTTGTACACGTTCTGTCTGGATTTGAAAGCCTCAGACTGTCTGCATGTTTGATGTTGAATTATTCTGTTAGCTCACTGCGTGCTTTTAATTCCTATTATGACTTAAACAGAATAAGGTTTTTCTGACAAAGTGTATGCTTTGTGGTTGTGATTCATCTTTTCTTTCATGTTCTTTTCTCGAGCCTTGTCATTCACATAAACTTGAACAGTAGCAGAAGTTTTTGAAAGATCAGGAGTGTAGGTTTATGGCAGTAGCAAATCAAAGCACTGCCTTAGGTAAGGTTAAGGGTCTGTTGGAAAAGTGTTTAGTGACACCTTTTCTGTTCTGGGTTTATTTTGGTGTTCTGTATTTTTGTGGGGTTTTTTAAATGTGTGTCTGCATTTGCTATTTATTCATTTTTAGCTGCTGATTTGCTGCTAATTCTGTGGACTATAAAGGTTTTTGTCTCTTCCAAAGGACAGTAAGTTTCCGGAGTCGTAAATTACCACCCAATTCAGTGTGGATGGAAGATACAAAGCTAAAAGGCCTGCAGATCTGCCATCCTCAGGTATTTCGAAAAATATTAATGCATTACAGAAAGGTACTTAAGAAGTAACTTTAAGAGGGAATTTTTACAAGGACATGTATTGACAGGACAAAGGGGAGTGACTTTACACTGAAAGAGGGAAGGTTTAGATTACATTGTAGGAGGAAATTTTTTACTGTGACTGTTGTGAGGCACTGGAATGGGTTGCCCAGAGAATTTGTAGATGTTCCATCCCTGGAAACGTTCAGGGCCTGGCTGGATGGGACTCTGAGCTCTGGTCTAGTGGGAGGGGTTGAATTTTTGAGTAAGATTAGTCAAACTATTATTTTGTTTCACTTCTACAGTCCTTGCAATGTGTTTAGATCCTAGTTTCTTTTGCCAGTTTTTTGTTATTTGTATAGATTACCACTGCCAAATAGAAGATTTTTAGTGACCTTCTTTTCTTACTAGACTATTCATTCTGTGTGAAGAAATTCCTGCATAAAGTGTTCGCAAAATGTTTGGCCTTTGATTGCTGACACAATTTCGAGTTGTTATCTTATGTTTTTAAATGAGGCAGATGAGCTCCTATTAAGTAAAGTTGCCTTGGGCATTTTAAATTTTGCATGTATATTTCAGTAGTGCTTTTTATATATTCAGCTGTTGAGACTTCTGTAAAATACTGTAAACTGAAGTGCAAACTTCAGCACAATGCTTTGAAAAGAATTTTAATTTTTGTTTCTACATACAGGAACGAAACATCTTCAATAGAATCTTTGGGGGTTTTCTCATGAGAAAGGCATTTGAACTGGGATGGGCAACTGCTTGCAGCTATGGGTGAGTTGTAGGCCTGGAATATTTATATAATCCAGATCACTGTGCACATATACATAGGTCAGGAAGGCCAAGGTAACCAACCTAATGACAATCCGAGCTGAGAAAACCTAGGTGTCCAGTAGAATCTTGAACTATTAGTGCACAGTGCTGTTTTACTTAGGGCACCTGTTGTATTTACAAAGAGATTTGCATCTTGCTCCTTGGAGCTTGGTTTTTAAGCCTCATCTGTCAAGACAGAAAATACATCCATTTTCTGTTTTCTTTTAACTTACCAAGGTATTCAGATGAACTTCTGAAGATTCATTTTCTTTGTAACCATATAGAATAGATGTTCTATCAAATAAATATTGCATCCTTTCATTCCATAAACAAGAGGAATGGTTTCTGAACTTCTGGTGACTGCTTGAGCATGACTGAAGTCATCACCCAGCAAAGGTCTATGTGTAAATTAAATGGAGCGTGCACTGCCTGATACAAAGTTAAGTGGTTTGTGTCAGTGCTTGGAAAACTGAGGCCTGAGCAATGGTGGCATGAAGATTGCCTTGCAAGTGGAAGTCATAAGATACAATAATGATGCAATAACATGTCCTCAAAGACCGTGTACTTTTATTGCTGTGAAAGATTTCTTCCAGTTATTTTTGTCTTTGGTGATGACATAACTCATTAGCACTTTCTGTGGCTTTTTTTTAAGGAAGAGATTTGTTTTCTAGCAATCCTTCATTAAAATGCTGGCAATAAAATATTTTAAATTTCTCCAAACATCGTTTTTATTCTTGAGACAAAATTTCTCTTTTGCTCCCTCAGGGGTTCCAGACCCTTTATTGTATCTGTTGATGATATCATGTTTCAGAAGCCAGTTGAGATTGGATCCTTATTACTGCTTTCTGCACAGGTAGGAGTTGATTTCTTTTCAAAAAGGAGCAAACCTTATCTTTGCTGTGATCGCTGCTAGTCACTGATAATGAACAGTGCACTATGAGAGCGTGTGACTTTTCTTGTTAAATGGTGTAATGAAGTCTGTTGCAGTTTTCAGCACCAGTGATAAATTACAAGCTATAACTCTTGTTTTCACTGTGTAGGTCTGTTACACAGAAAAAAACTACATCCAGATTCGAGTGCACACTGAAGTTTATGATGCAAATACCAGGGAGCACCATACTACCAATATTTTCCATTTTACATTTATATCAGAAAATGAGGTCCCACGGGTTGTACCTAATACATATGGAGGCAAGTATCCAATGAATCTGTTGTCATCATAACTCTGTAGAAAAGATGACTTTCTCTTGGAACACTGGTAATTTTTAATAGATGAACTTTTTCGTTTGAATAATTTAACAGAATTTCATGGCAAACCATACTTTTTTTATGCTTTGATGACAGTGTGGATAGCTTCTTGCATTTGCCAATCTATGTAGCTGTAGTTGCTCAGTATTGATACTGAGTTCTAATGTGGTTCTGTCTTTTCTCCACTTTATTTCAGAATCCATGTTGTATTTGGATGGGAAGCGACACTTTGATGCAGTTATGAAAGAAATCTGACAGGCACTGGGTGCTGCATCAGCAGTGTAGCAGCACTGTCTTGGAAAGAGATGGCTAAAGGACAGGTTCTTTTAATACTCAACCCCCACCCCAACAAGCACCCAAAACCAAACCAAACCATAAAATAACAAACCCAAACTCTACAACAAAACTCCTCCTTTTTAGTGCTCTTTTTCTATTTGCATATATTTGGATTTTTTTATTGTTTGCTAGTAGGATTTGTTAAAATCTACTCTTACTTGCCAATGCTACAAAAAAAGGCTGAAAAAATACAGTTTTAGCTTTAGATAGTTTCTCTTTTTCTACTTTGAGAGATCTCATTACAACTTTTGCTGTCTTGTCACCATCTGCCTTTTTTCCCTTAGCAGCTCTCCTTTGTGTTTCCCTGATAATGGACAGAAGTTCTGTCAGAAAAACATGTGCAATGACTAGATACACACAGGTGGAGCAATTTGACCTACATTCATGTGTGGATTAGCTTTAAGGTCAAAATTTTTTTTTTTTTTTAACAAGGACACCTGTATCTAGGCAGCAGCATAGGCTCAGAAGTTACCAGTGTGTACACAATGCAAGGCAGGTGTTTCCCATCAGTGGGAATTTAACAAGGTTATTGCAGCTTCTGTTTTGGATGGATGAACGTTCCCTTGGGAGGAAACTGATTTTTGCAATAAAATGAGGTGGCCAGGTGGTATCTTCTGGCATTCTGTTTGTGTACAGCCAGTCCTTGCCAGCCTCTTCTAACTTTTGTTTTGTTTTAATATGTAACAGTAAGTCAGTTCCTTAGTAAATTATTTCTCATGTCCTGGAGACTAGAGATCTAATTGGTAGGATTGGGTGGGACTGGGAAATGGCAGAACATTTTGGTTTATTAAGGATTGGGAACAAAAAAGGTAAAATGCTGCTCAAATGGTCATGGTGATTGATGTTGGAGTTAGGGGTCTAGAGAATCTGTGCTGAGCAGCTCCCAAGTCAGCTGCTGAATGGTGGGAGGAACTGTAACCCACTGAGGGGTGGTACAGCTAGAGGACAGGCGTCTCCTCAGCTGGATTATTTATCTGGTTCCTTGGTGGACTGAAACATAGTATGAGTATTGCATAGGTTATCAAGTTTACTTTGGAGGTAAAGGACAGAGGATTTTCCCACCATGGAGGGGACACTATGGTGGACATAACTATGGCAAGAGGAAGTAACAGGAAGAAAGTAATGGATACTGAAATGCTTCTGATGTAATGGAGAAAGTTGTAATAATTTCCAGTATCTGGCAGATAAAGCCCAACATCCTGAAATCAGGAAGGTGAGGGGATAGGAGGCATCAACTTTTAGAGTGAGTATAATTATCACAAGCACAAAACTAGACCTCTGATACCTTCACATCAAGACTGATATCCTGTCTGATCAAGACACCCAAAGAGGAGTTGAGCTCAGTGGTAGTTAAATGGATGAAATGTGATGCCTTATAAAACACAAGAACAGACTCTGGCTTTAGATAAAGGGTTGATAAAATAAAGCAGCATGTTACACTTTTATTTCTGAGTAAGAAAATCTGAGAAATTCATAATTAGGACCAGTTTCCTTTGGTGCTAGAATGGCATGAAGTTCGTGGCTCCTGACAGTTGATTGCTATTCCTGTGAGGAATAGCCCCCGGTGGTCCAGGGGAAAATTCACTGCACTGTCACTGCAGAGACCCGGGTTCGATTCCCGGTCGGGGCCCCTCCCCGGGCAGATGGAGCTTGTTAGCCCGTAAGGCAATCCATCTACGTCCTGAGGACCTCGCTGCCACCGTCCAAGCGTGCTTGGCCCCGGCAGACGAACTTCAGGATTAAAGGGTGGGCTCAGTTCCGCGCACACTGTGTCTCACCTAAAAAATCCAATGCGCAGGCTGGAAGGTGGAAAGACCTTCCCCGGTTCTTCGTTCGCGAAGAGACTGGCCATTTTATATTCCTGTGAGGAGAGTGAGCATTGTAATAACCAGCATGTTGCACATCAGCCTTTTCTTTCTAAGATTTGGCTGCTGTTACTGATGAGTTGGATCAATAGCTTTCCAGTGGTGGCACAAGGGTATTGTCTGCTCAGATCAGTGCATTGCCATGATAGTAACCTCTTGGTTCCTACTGTAGAGTTTCTTTCTCCAACCAGTGCTGACTCAGCTGTATGATTTTATAATCTTTTTCTTTAATGGTTTTGATGCTGTGGAGATATGTTGTATTTTCTGGGTTTCTCCCTTTTAAAACTCTTTGGAAACTGAATATACTTGACTGACTTCACAAATAAAAAACTGAAATTCTGTCTCAGCTTCTTCCCCCCTAACTGCAGGGATCCATGTTCACTGTTAAAAATTAAATAGGAAGGTGGGAAGTGGAGGGATCTATTTCAGAACTATGTATTACTCCTAACTATCTGCAGGTTTTTATTATTGACCCAGTGGTCCTACCTGGGTTACTTTTTTATAACACTTGTAAGTTAAGGGGATACAAAGTTCTTCCTCTACTCTTTTCAGCTGCATTTTTTTAAAAAAAATTATCCTAATTTCTAAATTCAGCCTTCGGGAAGGGATGGGAGAGGAGAAGAGGTTATAGGGTAGGGAGGAAGGCATGACATCAGAACCTCTGGACAGAGTGAAGAAGATGAATCCTTCAAATTAAGATGCTTAGAAAAAGTGTGTTCTCAAACTTCTTGGTAACGTAATCACATACCACAATGACAGTATTTACAGAAATGAAGGTACAGACATACAGCATGTGTGTGTAAATATATACACATATGTAAAAAATACTATATGTCTTTCTGTTTATTACTATATATATGTATTTTTTACTCTCAGAAGGTTAACTCCAAGTTGTCACCCTCTCTGGTGATAGGCTACATGTTCAAAAGTGTGCATGCTGCTTTATACTTTTGTGTGTGAGAGAAAATTGTTCTCAGATCTCAGAATTAAAATATTTTAACATGGTAGTAATGTTGGGTTTATGTTGCAACCTAATGTCCAACCCGTCACTGCTGTCGGTGACTAACCATTACCACAGAAGCCTAAAGGAATTGGTAGATAATCTTTGTATTTATAGTAAGCCTGTCTATATAACTGACTGTGGCTCTGTAGCAGGAAGTTAATGTTTCTGTTGCCATCGTGTCTTGGAATACCACGAGGAGGAGGAGCAGGATTGCCTCCCCTTAGCCACTCGCTTAATGGTGATATATGAAAGGAGATTTCTGTGGGACTGGCTGAACTCAGTGACCAAGGAAGCGTTTGCTTTTAGATGTTTTTATTTTTCTGTGCTTAAAAAATATATTAAAATTATTACTCAAACTTACTGTAACAGCTTCTGATACCCCTTTTTCCAATATGCACCATTCCTTTGCAGCCACATCGTGGTGTTCAGCGCTCTGGGAAGAAGCTTGGACGAGCTGGTGCAGCATGGGCTGTTGAGAGAGGGGTTTAGTTCAGAAACCTGCTCCAAACTTACTGCACGCTCAGTTGGTTTTAGTGCACATTCAGTCCAGCCTTTGTCTTGTGACAGACCGGTTTGATTGCTGATGCTCCTCTGAATGCATTTTTAACTAGGTGTGGGAGAGAGCATTCACAGGCTAGGCACTAGCTTTTGACATCTGCTTTAGTTTGACGCTTTTGCTGCTGTATGTGCTACCACGATAGACCCCATGGTTTTGTTGCTGTAACTCTCTACTTGCCTGGCTCCCCAAGGAGCCGTGGGCTGAGTGGAGCATGTTCAACACATGGGTGATACCTCATCTCTGTCTTCATCATGTCTTACTGGCTGGCTCAGTGACCTCTCCTGGCTGGAGGAGTGGGCAAAGCCTCTGCGGAACAGGGCACAGACATCATTTCTGGTGGAGGCACAGATGTTGGTCTCATGCTGTGCCTTGAGCTACTCTGAATATCCATGTAACAGCTGGGCCTTTATTCGTTACGCTGCAGTGGCTTGGAGTTATTTGAACGTTCTCTGTGTTGATGTTTTTGCTGTTGCAGGGTTAATAAGGCTGTAAAAAAAAAATCCCAAGTAAAATTCAAGCAGCTGGTTTACAGCCCAGTAATGTGAGGAACCACCTCTCTATGTGCTGCCCTCCAGGCTTTGCGATCACATGGACTGGTGCAATATTTACCAGCCTGTGGGGTTTGGCGCTGATCCTGCTTTGCCTGTTACACTCCAGATGGGATGAGGGACTCCTCCTTTCCCCAGGCCTCACAGGGACATGGAGGCTGGGGCTTGGTGGAGCTCTGTGCTCTGGCTGTGGTTCCCTCTGCAGTAGGCATGTGCTTAGGGGTTATTTGTCAAGCAGCCACTTCTGCTCTGTGTCTGCAGTGAGTAACCCCAAGAACTGCTCAGCATTCAGCCAAGGCTATACAATCACGTAACTTCACGGTGAAAATGCAACTGCTGGTCTAGTTCTGCAGAACTGAAGTGTGTGTGTATAGGGCAAAGAATTGTATAGTGGGGCTGGGGAAGGGGAAGCAAGTTCTCAGGTGTGAGAGGTCCAACCAAGAGTAATGATGTAGTGGTGTAGACTGGAGCAGGGAGGCAGGCACCTTTTGCCTTTCCAAGGATGACCCTGGTGAAAAGCTGACACATGTTTCAGTTGCTGTTTTTCCAGTTGCACAGACTCTGGAATACCATATCAAAAAGAGGGAGGTGGGAAGGAGCCAGACAAGACACTGGGGTTTTCCAGTGCACACAAGTGTGTCTTACATGGAGATGTTCTGTTCCCTTGAAAGATGAAAGCCGCAAGAGTGATGTGATCATTGCACATGTCAGTACTAATCCTGGGAAAGACTACAATTACTCCCTTAAAGCTGGGAGCCACTAACCACTACATTCATCTGTTAACAGTGTAGGGACAGGGGAAAAAATTCAGACCATGTGAAAACAGAATCGATCTTATCAGCAAACACACTGCAAATTCAAGTGTGGAAAATTCACTGGTTCAGCTCTTGAATCACATGAACTGGCATAGCTGTATTTTTTTCAGAGCAATTGTACTGATTTATGTAGCACAGGGGATGTTCTTAGTAGCTTAAAAATGTTTTCCAGCTTCAGACGGACTGGAAATTTAATTCAGCAACTGTCACT